AGCTGTTTTGGATTCAATTATCAGTACATTTGTACCAGAAACCTTGCGATTCTTGAGACCAAGTCAACTTTAAAATCCACGTATAAGACAGTGGCTATTACTGATGGCTGAAATATATGGCTACTAAGAATATTAGGATATAACATAGTTTAGTACAGAATGAGAGAAGACGTAAGTGGGTGAGTGTGTATAATTATAATGTGTGTGTGTGTGTGTGTGTGTGTGTGTGTGTGTGTGTGTGTGTGTGTGTGTGTGTGTGTGAGAGAGTGTGTGTGTGTGTGCAGGTGGGGGTTATGTTGTTGTAACTCCATAGTATAGAATCTAGTTTTATTGTACTATTACTCAGAATTCCACCAATTACAACGATACCATGTGCGTTTTATAACGTCGCGAGTCACGAGGGGAGTAACATGACTTGTGTCTAAAATGCATCTTTGCTGATAAAGGAAAAAAACCCTCACAAGAGTCAAATGACTTTCCAGTCAAAACTTTATCTTTGGCAGAAGAAGAAAAGAAAACTCACGGAAGTAAATTAATGACTTCTGTCTAAACTGCGTCTTTGGCAGAGAAGAAGAAAAGAAAAACTCACCAAAGTAAAAGGACTTTCCTGTCAAAACGGAATCTTTGCAGAAGAAGTAAAGAAAACTCACCAAAGTAAAAAAGACTTAAGTCTAAACTGCGTCTTTGGCTGAGGGAGAAAAGAAAACTCCCGAGGGGAGTAAAATGCCTTGTGTCTAAAAGAATGCATCTTTACTGATAAAGAAAAAAACAACCCAACAACAAACCTCACAAAAGTCAAATGGCTTTCCAGTCAAAACTGCATCTTTGCAGATGGAGAAAAGAAAACTCACGAGAAGGGTACAATGACTTGTGTCTGGACTGCATCTTTGGCAGGGGGAAGAGAAAAAAAAACAACTACTGGTACTTTAGCCTCAAACTTTGTCTCACTTCATTCTCGTCTTTTTCACCACTCATTTTCCCCCCACTTTCTAGATCTGTCTCCCTGCTGCATGTATCGCCAAGGGATTACCCTGTTTATCCACGTACCCCCCTACACACACACATACCCACCCACACATACACACCCACACACACCCACACACCATAACCTCTCCCTCATGTGGTTTCATATGTCATAATATCTCTCGGTTTAAAAATAACACATTCCAAGATCAGATACGATCACTCCCTGCCTCCCTATCCTCTGCTTTGCAAGCGCATATTAAATATTATAATTCGCCGTCCTTCGCAAGTACATGTTCTATCTATAGATAGATGACTGGTCAAAGTGCTTTAAATGGTTGTGAAAGAGTGAGTCATTTCTACTTAATGTACTACCAGCTATTTACGTGCCGGGCAAATGTGACGTGACCTCATGTTGGAGAAAGTGAAATGTCCTTAACCTCTCCGTTTGTGCTGTGGACTGGACAATCAGTCAACTGTTGTTATTGCAAAAAAAAAAGTGGGGTGAGGATCGCCCCTCTCTCCTTCTGGTCGTTTGGCGCTTCGCTGTCACGCGCAGGAGACCCGAGTTCGATTCAGGACTGGGGAGAAACATTAATTTTATCGAGTACAGCTTGTATATCGGTCATTCAGTAATGGTGTTGTGTATCGCTCTCCGCCCGGGTTGGCCCTGACAGGCAGAGTCGGAAGTCCGCCTCCTATGAGGTCTAAATTGCGTAAAAATACCTACGTTAAAAAACAAACGAAAACAAACAAAAACAAAAGCAAACAAAACAACAACCGAGGTAACGGAGCGGACTCACCCTTGCTTATTGTAGAGTCGGCGAGTGTTGTTGGTTTGAGCCTCTCTCTCTCTCTCTCTCTCTCTCTCTCTCT